GGGGAATGGATACATTTTGTCTTAGCCAATTTAGAGACAGGGCATCAACCGGTGGGAGATGGCATTCCTAACACTACATCTCTTCAGCAAAGATCATCAAGAATAGAAAAAGAAAAGCTCTTCCACGTAGCATTTTTTTTCCTCCTACAAACCTACTTGGTAAAGACTTTGGGATGTACAGATGGTCTGAAATACCAGAGAACAGCAGATAGAAATTAAGTGTGAAATAGATTACTTTCTCCATGAAGAGGAGCACCAGAAAAATGGCTATTACAACACGGCAAGAAAGGAGACAAAGCAGAAGTTGTAGTCAGCTCCCAGAGGGATGAATGTCACACGCTCATACTTTGCTTGTAACTGAAATCACCTTGCAGGCAGAAACAAGCAGCTAAAATCTGAGGCAAATCTATAATCAAACAGAGACACACCAAGGAAACAAGATAAAAAAAGGGTGAATACTTTCAGAAGTTTGAGATTACAATCAAATCTATTTTTCTTAGAGTGTCCAGGAGGGATCTTCAGAAAAAAGCAGCATACTTTTGCCCCTAAACCAGAGGAAAATGCTGTTAAACCGCAGGCAGGTGCCCTTCGTGGACTAGCTCTGCAGACACTTTAGAGGGGTATTTCAACACACATTAGAATTTTAGCTGTCCTCCCACTCTGGCTATCGCTTCACAGGATGTAGAACACATAACCAAAATACAGCTCCATGTTGTAAATACCTCTGCAGAAAGCCACCAACTTCTCCATTAAAGTTAATACATTGTACATGGTTCCCCAACTTCCATAAACGCCCCAGGGTCATGACGTTCCCGCAGCGAATGCCAGTGAATGAACAGACGACCATCCCAAAGAAATGGAGGAGTGCGTGCTCGCTGCACCGGTAGCGAGCCACAGCATCTCTCCAGAGCACAGCGTCAAGTCCTGAGCTCCAGAAGGAGACCAGGTTGGTTGATGGCTTTGACAGAGGTATCCGACAGCTCACAGTGGGGCTGAACATCAAGCAGAGCACCACGCACTACAAGTTTTGCAGCCACAACCAGAACGGACTCTGCTACCTGTGTACGCTGGGGAATACCTGCCTGCACAAGCGGGGAAAGCCACCCCTCAGACGGCATGTCCTAGCCCGATGAGCCCACCAGGCTGGCAATGCCACTCAGGCCCACCTCCAGTGCAACCTGCTCTCTCCTCGGGACAGGACACTCGTGCCAACGAACGATCTCCACAAGCACGTCTGTACTTTAACACGCACAGAAGAGCTACCACAAAGCCCCTCCTGCCGGGTCACACCTTGCCAAAGCACAAGATGTCACTGCCCCACAGTGTCACTGGTCCCTTCCGAGTAGCTGGGTGAGTCCCGACAGGCTGTCGCTGAACAGGGAATCAGCTCCAGTTACAGAAAGATTCAGCAAGACAAGTAGTGATGTCAGTTGCCCTGAACCGTAAACATTTTGAACTATTTTGGTACAATGGAAAGTTGTGGGAGAGAGAAAGAAAAAGAACAGGATAAAAATAACTGACATGGTTCTGAACAGCATTTTGCCTATAGACCCCTTCCCTGCACGCTGCCCTCCCTCCCTTTTCTTCTGCCTGGCCCCAGACTTCTAAATTAATCAGATTTGCTAATGTTAAACAAGGCCCTTCATAATTACTTTATAATACTGGAGACTACATTCTTGAAAAGAACCTGTAAAAATTCCACTCTGTTAGCAATGCCAATGGCATATCTACTGAACAAGAGTGGGGCTGCTTCTTTTATTTTTTGGTTGGGATCCAAATCAATCTCTGCACATTGCTATAAAAATGGAGGCTCTTAGGAGAAAGAGAAGTTTCAAGTTATCTATTCCCACACTCATCCTGGACTATGTATACACAGAAACCACACTGTATTTTATCAGCAGTCATTACACAATGACGTCACAACTCTGTAGCCCACATCATTTCTCTTTCCTGACACCATATCACCCATCATTAGTCAACTGTCCCAGAGGGACTAGGTTTCACCGGCGACTAAGAAGGAAACGCACTGCCTACAAAGCTGCACAAGGAGCAGTCTCTGAGAATCGCCTGCGCGGGACCCGAAGTGCCACGGCACAGCCAACGCACTGCAGTTCTGAGCCGCACTCCGGCGTCTCCGTCAGGATTCAAGCACTGGCATAGGTGGTGAACGCTGCGTCCTGAAGCCATCGGCACGCGGCTCTGAAGAACACTTACAGCCAGCTCAGTTACCCACTGGCACTAAAGAGAGGAGATCTCATGGACCTGAGCCTTCCTTCCACTTGTGCTACTCGAGGCCAGTAAAAAGCGCACTTCTGCGAAGAAGCTAACAGTAATCAGCTGCTTCACAAAGAACTTGAACAGTTAACGAAATAATGTTAAAAAGCAGAATAAAATTACAAGTTTTTACATAGTTCTTTTTTCTGTTTTCCCTTCCACCTTTCTCCAGAACCACCAACTTGTAGAAAACAAAACAACAACAAAACACCCAGAACAACTGCATCCATTCTGGGTTTTTTTCCTCCCTAGCCACGGGCTAAATAATTACACAATTCATTACAGGAGAGGAGAAAAATAAGATTAACATATTTCAAAAACATCTGAAGTGAAACGAAAGCCCTAATTAAACACTGTGCTAAGAAATACATATAACTTCATCGCAGCTATTCCATGATTAATTTAAAGGGGAGATGACACTTTTCTAATGGTATTCTAATTTTTTTAAATCCTTGCAAGTGTGTAGTCTTGGTCCCTTCCCTGAAGTGTTAAACACAGTTTACTAACCCTTATGATGAAAGATACATGCATCTCCAGAGTTCTTCGTAGTCGAATCACTAATCATTTAAAAGAGTAATAAACCTAAGAGTAGCTTTCATAAAAAATTAATTAGAAAGGCTGAGAGCACATCTGTTGCTTTTGTTACAATTTTCCCCCCTTCTGGTTCAGTTGTCTTTCCCCACACTCTTTAAAAGTCTTCTCAGGTTCTCACGTCTGCTGCTTCTTGTTGTGAGTCCTTGTTGCTTCCTCACACTTCCCTCCTTGTTTCCTCCCTGTACTGATTTTTCCTTTGGCAGCTGCTATTACTAGTGTGTGACACAGGCACTATTTGGCACCCAGCAGCTAGGAGGACTTGGACCTACTAACTAACAAAAACAACTTGCATATTAAAAGCATCAAGAGAGTGAGTTACTTGTAAGTACATACAACTCACATAAATAACGTACAACAAATCTGCTGTGGAAGAAAATCATACTGATTAAGTATCATACTGGAACAACTAAGCTTTATAATTCACAACGTGGAGAAAGACAAAAATGGAGGGCAATTTAGAGAGAAGACAGGCACTCTATCCCCTATCCATTGTGAATATCTGCAAGTCCTTGGCAGCCTGTGGAGGGCTGAGAGGGAACGGTGATGATGATGGTTCCCAGCTATGCCTCAGAAACAAGGCTAAAATGCAGTAGGCTGTTCATAACACCAGGCTACGCACAAGCAAGATATCCTTTGATCCTATCACCAAGCCATGTGTAGGCTTGATCAACAGAAGAAAAATTACTTCATCCAAAGTTTAGGATTAATTCATCTTCTCTATGACTACAGAAAACTCAATCAGCAGTGTTTCAGCAGGCCGGGCTTAGAAGTGGTATTTGATACCCTTTCAAAGCCTACGCTTACTCTGAAACAGAAGGTAAACCATTGCAGTAATGTGGAATTCAACTCATTTAAGTTCATATGACTACAGCATAGGTGCTAATGAGTGAGCTGGTCACTCTGTGTCGAGCTGGCATTGCTCTGCATTCAACCACATCTCTAAGCTCCCTGTTCTTCTCTACCAACGACAAAGTGGACAAAGATCAGCTGTGGATGCCTATGTTCAAAGAATTCCCATCACAGCTGTCACCAGCAAGCCACCATTTTTGGCCTAAACAAGGTCACATGTGGTTCCTTCTTTCACCGTCACTGGGCTCACACTTTCTTCAACACTAATACCCGATTTCTGCAATAAGGAAACTTCGACTGGGCTCAGTATTTACCTAGGTTCCTAGCCAGTACCAGTGATGCTGTCTGAGCTCTTTCTAGAAGAGGATGAGGATATGTTTTACTGAACAAAAAATGAAAAGCAAGGTGAAGCAACACACATAAGGTCAGATAAGGCATGTGAAGTATATTCAAGAAGAGAAATAAGAGAACCAGTCTGGCATCTAAATGAAGTTTTCGTGACTTCACATTTCTCTCTAACTGGGTGCAAAAGGAGATAACGCAGAATAAAGAGACACATTAAAAAAAAAAAGCCTCTACTACAAAATAGTAATTACTCCCATCTAGTAAAGCTTAGTAAAATAAAGTTATGGTTTTAGTTCCCAAAAGCCCAAAATTCTTCAAGTATGATGGCAACTTTTTCCTGTTTCACAACAGTTTTATAATACATGTAGAAAATAAACCTCAGGAAAAAAGCAAATAAGACTATGCACAATTTCTGCACATGCTCCAGTTGGAGGAGAAAGGATGAGGTTGTTACATTTTTTCCAAAAGCGTGCACTGAACAAGACATAAAAATACATGTTTCACTACTAAGTCACAGGAAGTTACCTATACTTTTAAAATAAGCTGCCATAGATGCTGAACAAAAGGTTTGGCAATTCTTCCCTACAGAGGCACCCATCTATTTACATCTGGGAGTGCTGCCAATAGAACAGCTACCAAAAACTTCAAAATGTTCACAGCACGAATAGCAAGCTGCTGGCCAAAGGATTTTATGATATGACCAGCTGTGCAACACCATATTGAATTATAGACACCAGCACCACCACCACCCAAAAAAAAAGAAAAAAGCAAAGAAGAGATGTTAAACTTGTTAAAAAGCTGAAAAAGAAACCTGAATTCCTTAAACTAATGTTTTCTACAGGAATGTATTTTTAACAGGAAAAAAAACAAACACCCAAACCCCAGAAGTACTGCCATATAGCACTTCTTTAAGAGCAACTCTAAGCAGTTGTTCTCACCCAGAGCGCTTTAAGCCCCGTGAACTTCTCTAGCTTAAGTCGCAGCCAGAGCTCAGCTGCTTTGTGATCAGAATGCTCTGCTTTAATAAATGGCTCCCCTAAACTCACCTGGGGAGAACAGAGACATGAGTCAGAGGAAAAGAGGGATAATGTTTCTGTTGACAAACACTTAATAATTGACAGCCAATGGTAGGAAACAGGCACAAACGAAAGCTCGCCAAATAAAGTTACACGGGAGAACAAGGCGCCTTTTTGGTGCAGCACTCCTATTCTTCACAGATCCCAGGAAAGTATCTGAACACGGCTCACCAAAATAAAAAGCTGCAGTTGTTGAACAGCAAGATTGCTAATCCTAATACTTGCGGGGACGTTTTTCCCTGCAAACCAGCACGGGTCAGAACTCCTCCAGACCACATTACCGCACGTCCTTTGCCAAAGAGTCTGGTTTTGGTCTCAGCAGTCAAACATGTCTCAGTGTTCACACCAGCCCTTCTGACCTACATGAGCAAGTTTTTCCCCTCACCTTATGACATTTCTGTTGAAACCATACCAAAGCGTACACAGCACCCCGGTCAGGCTCCTTCTTCAGGAAAGCCAAGACCTTCACTGTCTGCTTACGCCCTGGAAATTCGGCTCTCAGCGAGCGCAAACAAAGCTCGACAGCCGAGCTGCGGGCAGAC